TTGAATACACTGTTGATCCACTTTCATATTTTAAAATTTTGAATTGGCATTCGATGCCATGACACTAGAAGAGAGAGATTGCATGGTAATCTACTTGTTTGTATACTTTGTTAACTATCTGTATCAATCTAAAAGGTAACAGGTGTAACATAACAATTGACCTTCATTTGACAGGTAAGCTCACTGTGAACTTCAAGCATCAATAGCTCAATAGCTATGCTACACCTTACTTCACACTCAAACAGCTATGCTATACTGTACTTCAATACCTATGTTACCACTGAAATTCAAGCATCAATAGCTATTGTACGCTACACTGTACTCTAAGCTCCAACAGCTATGCTACCACAACTGTAATTAAACTTTAACAGACTACAGTATGCTACCACAGAACTTAAGCATCAATATGCTATGCTACACCTATACTTCAAGCTCAAACAGCTATGCTAAACTGAACTTCAAGCATCAACAGCTACGGTATGCTACAGTGTATTTCAAGCTCTCAACAGCTATGTAACTATTGTACTTCAAAATTCAACAGCTTTGCTACCACTGAAATTCATGTATCAATAGACTATGCTATACTTCACTTCAAGCTCCAACAGATATGCTACCACCAGTGTACTTCAAACCTCAACAGCTATGCTACCACTGAACTTCAAGCATAAATAGCTACTATATGCTATTTGTACTTCAAGCTCCAGCAGCTATGCTACGCTTTACTTCAAACTTCAACGGGTATGCTACCACTGAATGCTAATAATACCTCAAACTTCAACAGCTATGCTACACTGTGTTTCAATCTTCAACAGATGCTACACTATACTTTAAGCTTCAACAGCTACCGTATGCTATGCTGTACTTGCATGCTCCAACAGCTATGCTACACTCTACTAACAGCTGCCGTATACTATGCTGTGCTTGCATGCTCCAACAGCTATACTACACTCTACTTCATGCTTTAATGCTATGCTACATTGAACCTCAAGCTTTAACAATTACGCTACACTAAGTTGTTTGTACTTTGTAGCTGACATACAGGTAACTATCCAATTGTTCAATGCCAACTTCCAGGAATATTTATAAACAATATAGGAAGAGAAACTAGCCAGTAGTGAAATTTGTAATTGGTGGGAAAGTTCAAGTCCCAAAAAATACAATGCATTTTAAATTCTCTTTCGTTTTTTTGATAACATAAATAAACATGGAAATAATAAAAGTATGAACTTGGAATAACAAGGTCAAAAAATCTCTAATGATGGAAACAATGAAATGATGACCTTGCAAGGAATTGCTTTGGGCTGGCTTTAGTTTTCAATTTTTATTTTTGCTTTTTTATTCTTCTTGTTTGAGGTATTTTATTTTGAATGTTCATGCCTAATTAACTAAGGCCTGACCTATGGTATAACAGAATGGGCACATGAATAGGTGGTGTACAAAAACACAAAATTAAAGCCAAACACACACTGACCAACGCAAATAAACATTTAAAAATTGGTTAGTTGGTGATGAAAATTTGTACATGTTCTAATTTTCAGTTGAAATATACAAATTACATTATTCTTTATTTCAGACTTTACATCCATAATTAAACATCGTCAACTTAACTAATAATAATATAAATACAAGGGGAAAATAAACCCCACATGATCCTTAGAAATTAAGGATTAACATAAAGAAGTTCGTTCCATCTTTTTGAGAGCCTAGAACTTTCAAAAAATCCATTTACAGAACGAACTAAAGGGTTCACACAAGTAGAAAATCGCTTTAAAATGCTAAAGATTGATTTTCTCATAAATTCTTGGAAAGATAATAAATTATTATTAACAAATAATGCATTAGCACTACAGTATCTCGGTTGGCGTAACAGTTTTCTTAAAATATTTTTAGTTTAAAATAGTTTTCTTAATATTACCTCAAACTTCAACAGCTATGCTACACTGTATTTCAAGCTTCAACAGATGCTACACTGTACTTTAAGCTTTAACAGCTGCCGTATACTATGCTGTACTTGCATGCTCCAACAGCTATGCTACACTCTACTTCATGCTTTAACGCTATGCTACAATGAACTTCAAGCTTTAACAGTTACGCTAACACTGAGTTGTTTGTACTTTGTAGCTGACACACAGGTACCTATCCAATTGTTCAATGCCAACTTCCAGGAATATTTATAAACAATATAGGAAGAGAAACTAGCCAGTAGTGAAATTTGTAATTGGTGGGAAAGTTCAAGTCCCAAAAAATACAATGCATTTTAAATTCTCTTTCGTTTTTTTGATAACATAAATAAACATGGAAATAATAAAAGTATGAACTTGGAATAACAAGGTCAAAAAATCTCTAATGATGGAAACAATGAAATGATGACCTTGCAAGGAATTGCTTTGGGCTGGCTTTAGTTTTCAATTTTTATTTTTGCTTTTTTATTCTTCTTATTTGAGGTATTTTATTTTGAATGTTCATGCCTAATTAACTAAGGCCTGACCTATGGTATAACAGAATGGGCACATGAATAGGTGGTGTACAAAAACACAACATTAAAGTCAAACACACACTGACCAACGCAAATAAACATTTAAAAATTGGTTAGTTGGTGATGAAAATTTGTACATGTTCTAATTTTCAGTTGAAATATACAAATTAAACAATCAATTGTATTTATTGTTTTTTTTCAAGATTAAATATTGTATATAGTCAGAATTGATTGTTTTGAATTGCTTTCCTTTGGCGGCTATCTTGTTGAGTACACATACAAAACTCTGCATTGCTAAGTTGCTAAGACTAGACTTTTTTATACCTTGTTTCAATAACTTATTTTTTTAAAGATGGTCAGAGGAATTATTAAAAAAATGAAAATAAAATTTTGTTTTCTTATTTAGCAAATAGGTTTGCAAAAACAACCAAATGGAGGAGAAAATAAAAATAAAATTTTATTGGTGAGTGTAAGCAGTGTAGTAATAATGGAATAGTTAAATGCTTTAAAGTTATATAATTAGGAAGAAATATACATATCATATTTTTGGAGATTTCAAGGTAGCAGTGGGCGTAATAACAATAAAGACAAACTTTTATTTTTTTCTTTCGTAGCGGCGGGTGCGCTAATTGGCCAAAAATACAAATTTTGTTTTTCTTTCAAATCATCATAAATATTGGTGGATGGCGGGTTTGCTAAATGTGGTATAAAAAAAGTCTCGCCTTAGCTCAATACCTACATGGCTTTAGCCCTTTTCTGTAACTCAATAGAGGATTATTCCCAATTATGCAAATTCCATTGAGTAAAACAGCTGTATTAATTAGAAATGTGATTATAATCATAATTAAAATTAACAATAACTAGTCCATCTACTAGTACTAACTACAACTACTACAACACTGTGTTCCAGTCCCTAATTTTGTCTTAATCAGTGAAAACTATTAAATATTTATCTATTTTGGCAACAATGGCATTCCATATTACTTCTATGCATGGCAATCCATACTATAAGTTTTCTGGGATTAACTCGCATCCAAATTCAGCAACATAACAAATTTCTCGACATAAACCGACACTGGTGGCGCTCTCCGAATCTATCTAAAAAACGATAAATTAGAAACTTGTGGCATACTATATTGCATTAAAAATTTAAATGATATCCTTCCTTGAAAACTGCCTACAATATCGTACCGTTGATAACATTCTGAGAAAACTTAAGTCCCACCTGCTGAGTTGCTAGGCATGGAGTTTATCAGGATAAACATATAGCACAACCACAGGTCTACAAGCTTTCTGATACAGTATATCAGATTCAGACATCAGCATTGTGAAACAGCCAATCTAAAATAGATTCTATCTCAGAACAATAAAACCAGTCAATGTCTGCTGTTTCAACCACATTTAATTTTGCTGACATTTATGGCTAATCTATATTTAGCATCACCAGTAATAATTCCATAAAACAATAAATTGATGAAAATAAATAACCACTGAGCTGTAGAATTATAACATTTGATAATTTTACTGGTACTCAAAATGAAATTAAACTCATTCTTTAAGCTGATTTTATTTTTTAATGTTCATAAGTTAAATGTGTAGACAATAATTTGGAACTCATTACTGTGTTCACATCAAAATAATAACCAACTGAAACGAGACCATGGATAAGCAACATTTTTTCTTAGTGGAATCCATACATATTGGTGGTAAGCCTTCAGCTGCAGGGATGCATCCGTATTTATTTACTTAAATATATAGCCTGGAATATTTGAGTGAAATATATTGAATAATATAAATATAATGTTGAAGAAATTTTCTTTTAGTTACCGGTATTCAAATCAGAGTAGGTTTACATTTTGACTTGATCTACATTTAAAAATGTACTGTCCCTTGCAAAAAACACAAAAAAAAATCATAAAAATCATTTTTGAAATTTACTTGCCCATTTTGTAGTACATTAACATAAAAATTATCAACTTAAACATAGAAATTAGTGTATTTAAAAAATGCTTACCCATAAAAACCATCATTTTACAGCGACAAAATGATAGAAACACTTCCAGTCACTGGAAGTGTTTTATTATCTTTATTATAATTATCCAGTTAAAAAATCAGGGAACACATTTTTTTAATTTAATAATTTCTATGCTCAAGCTAATAATTTGTTTGTTACTGCAAAATGAGCAAGTTATTAAATTTTCAAGGGACAGTACATCTATAAAAAAAAAAAATAATAGGCCTAATGGTAAATAATGAAAACATTTTATACTTGAACATGAATACATAAAGTTTGACTTTTTAGATCAAGTTAGTGGTTTATATTTAGACAAAGATTAGGTAAAAGGCTTGTTTTAGATGCAAGTCAAGTAAAACGTTTATTTTTAAATATAAATCAACTTTTTCTGAAATATCCATATCAATATTTCTGAATGTCACCTCGTTACCACATTGTCGAAATATAACTATGTACTTACACATACAATCACCTGTTACAAATTAAGAAAGCATTTCAAGAGAAACTTACAATAAATCAAGCAGCAACAGTCATCCCTGAAATTCTTCAACAACCAGCAAAAATAACTCTATTGTACGGATAAATTCCAACATGTGTTAAATCCACAGAAACAACAATCGCTATGTAATCCTCACGAGTGTTCGCCGAGCAACTGATCAAAACTTGCCTGCAGATAAGAAGAAAAATATTTCCCCTGTCATGTTGAAGTGAAGAATGAAACTGCGCAAGCAAATTCACTGCAGTTAATGAGTGAATTCAATCAACCAATCGGAGAGAAGAATGCACCCTGTGTCTTGCATGGAAAACAGTGTGAGCTTAGCTCAAAGAACAGCATTAGACCATGACCTAGAATGGCAGTCTATCTTGTTCACAGCGGACATTCCTTATTGCTTGGCTGGTACTTTGGGGCCAGACTAACAAAAATTGATTGTTGAATAACATAGTAATATGTTGACATTTTTATTATTTATACTCATTCAAACGAGTCTAGTTGAGGAACTGTAGTAACTAAACTCAATTGGTTTAACTATCAAAAAGTGCAAACTTGGTTAATAATGGAGGAATTATAGGTTCAATGTCTGAAGAATGGATAAATCATATAGTTTCTCATTATTTAAACATTAATCAAGGTTGGTAGAATAATAATACCAATAACCTCAGCATTAATTTATCATTTTTAATCAAAAGTACATTATCCTATCACAGTATATTAATATTTTGTGTGAATTAAGCATCTTTCAATATTTATTTTCCTATTTAGGAAGACTGGTCTTTCTTACACACAGCTGGTGAGTTATTAAAAGTATAATCATTAATTTATGAATATTCAAAAGCAGACAAAATGTCTTTTCAAATAGATAGTGCATTGTTGATTCCTTATAATTGGTGCTACCATACAATTTCAATTATTCCTCTTTTAATCACAATATTATTACTAGCATGGCTATAACAAAACCTTATGTGTAACTTTTCAATACATTTCACATGCATCTAAATATTATATGGACATTGTATTTGGAAGTATATAACTCTACGTTCTAATATGGGTACACTTAAATAATATTAATTATTGTTCTTTTACTCATAAATTATTATATTATCATTATTATATTGCTATTACTAGAACAGTTACTTGGCTATATATATAAAACCTTGTGTGGTTGTCTTTGTCTCCTCACACAAAACATAACATTCAGATAACGACCACATAGATTAATCACATTTTCAAAGAAATCAAAATTATACAATGTTTTATTTATTGAGAATCAAAGGAACACTACTTTTTAAAATAATTTATAACATGAAATATTTAGATTTTATAATTATAAGTCAAAAATAGAGACAAATATGTTAACCTATATCAGTTTGTCATGTAATGGTCATCTCAACCCTGCATTTGCTTTATTGAAATAATCTACAAAAATATTCATAAATGATAATTAGCAGGCGCAGATCCAAGGGGGAGGGGATCCACCTGGCACAGACCCCTTTTGGAAAGTAAAAACAGACCTGTCAAAGCTTCGGTCATGAAAATATGGAGATTTTTTTAAGAATCTTAAAGATTTACCAAAAAATCTTAAGGTTTCCAGAATTTAAACCAAAAGATGATGTAAGCATGGATGTAAGATACCAAAAAAGTCACGTCACTACAAATCATTGGCTGTTGGTGGTGACATTCGAATTGAAAATGGCTGCATGTTTATTGCACCACCGCGAAGCAAGCAGGCGGCGAAAACATTGAGTAACGATCAAATCAATGAAATTATGCATAAATCGGAGCATTTTTGGGGAGGGGGAGTGGCCTGTGAAATCGGGTGAAAATTACATTCGATCTGGAGAACTGGAGATTTGTTTAAATATCGGGTGAGTTGGCAGGTCTGCAATAAAAAAAAAAGAAAAAGGAAAAAAAAAGAAAAGAAAAAATTGATTGCCAAAAGGCCTCAGAGGTTATTTTTGGGCATCTAGAACACAGAAATTTCACAGGGGCATGCTTCCGGACATACTGGACTATTGTTATCTCGATCGGCCCCACTTTCGCCGCCCCTTGTATATAACATAATTCCTTTTTACTTTTCTGTCACTAACCATATCAATTTTGCATGATACTCCACTGGGATTATTATAATATATATTTTATTTTTTTAAATAAAACTGTAAAAATTTGGATACAGTTAACAGCAAATCACAAAAATAAAGGTGTACAAAAACTTATACCAAATGTTTCTATAAATCAACAAGTTGAAATTTTTTTGTGTTGTTTATAGGAGAGTGGGTACATACTTCCACGAAATGACACAGTGGGAGAATGTCACGAACTGGGGGAAAAGGTGGAAAAAGAGTGGTTTCAAACCTTTTCCCCAGTTTTTAAATATTAAAAAATCTGAATTTCATTAACCACTTTTTCGTCAGATATACTTTTTGTGTCTTAGAAAAACCAGTTGTATAACATATCCAAAAAAAAAAAAAATTCCTCTGGAGCCTAGCTTTAAAGTCGCCAATTTTTTACTCTTCTTAATTGAAGCATGGACCTACAAAAATAGTTTCATGATTGATTAACTAATCTAATTATCTAATCATTGTAGATACACAATGCATACTATTATCTATTGGGTAATCAACAACTGATTGAAATTACTAGACATTGGTTGCTGTTGTATGAAAACTTCACTGGTATACTCCATGGTAGATTCAATTCTAAAGTAAAAGTTAGAATTACTTTACAACTCATCTGGTTTCTTTCCGTTCAGAAATAAACTATTTGAAAATCCCAGACATGCAAAAGCCATTAACTAATGAGTTGGTGGTGCTGCAAATGGTGCAGAAAATGGAACAAGATGCAAGTCAAAAGCTAGACTTTACCAGGCTGGACGTGTCAATATATAGTATACTTTACCATTGAGCAGTCCAGTAAACCCGCAAAACATTTTTGGCCTCATTGAAATAGACAATTTTATGTAATTTTTATATAATTGTCAATGTGGGTTTTGACCTGTTTTAATGTTGGGAGAGCCTATCAATAATAATTAAGCGTACTTTTAGCTAATAAGGCTTGTTTATATTTTCTATGTGGCCTGGAAGTAATAAATGAAAACAAAAACTGCAGTTTTATTTTTTTTCCCCCGAAATATTTTCATTAATAAAATAGAACAGACAATGATGTTGAGTTATTGTATACCATAAGAACATGGATGTAGTTTTCATGATCAGAACTTTTTGCCAGTTTTTCGTAGTTTAGTCCCTGGCGTGGCTGGGCCAAGGCTTGGTGCCTACAGTAGAATCTCAATTATTGGGCTGTGCAGTAAAATGTTTGCAGAATGCTGCTATTAATCATAATCTAGAAAATTGTTCTACTGATATTAATTCTACTTCTCTATTTTAAGATATACTGACATTTACAACTTATACCATCCTGATTAACGATGCCAACTTTCAGCAAAACCACAGTATTGTACCAAAATAATAACAAGTAGAATATGTAGAGTTGTTTTCTTAACAACCAGTAACTGCACAAGAAACAATATTGGTACATTACACCACAGCAGGCGGGTGATAACACAATAAATTAGTCAGGGCTCAAAGTTATTTATACAGGTCAATTAGTTCAGGTCTTTATGGTGTCAGAAATATGCCATTTGTTGTATCATATTGTTAGCAATACAAATTAGCTACCAGTCATCCATGGATATAAACTACTTTAATTATAACCTACACCTAATTGGCTGGGGAAAAAAATCCAATAAATATATTGAGTTTTGGTTCATTTTGTGTGAACCAAAACTGAATGATTTGCTTCAACATGGTTTCGTTACTGAATCATTTCTATAATTTTTTATTGAAAGAAAACAAGCCAAAATTCGAGATATTATTCATAGGATATACAGTTGATTTTTTCAATGATCCAATTTAAAATGTTCTGTTCAAGAAGGAGACCTAGATTTTATAAGCTTTATAATCATTTTTTTTTTAATCTTGTATTTTTATTATGGTACTTATTTTGTAATCCAGATTAAATTTCACAATTAAGAAGCATAGACAGGCCTGGATAAATAATTTTGTGTCTCTGACCATGAAAATTACCTTGATTAAAAAAGGTTTTTTCTTCCTCTTAAAAAAAAACCTCCAATGAAATGCGGAATGCCCCAAAATGCTACCCAAAAATGGTTGTCTGACGATAGAAAAAAAAACTGTCTTGGTTTATTAACCGCTGGTTGTTCAGCCCTGAACTTAGTTGAAAATCAGTGATTTGAAATGCACAATACAATAAAGTGCTGAGATTTGTCATTTCTATATTATTCTATATAAGAATACTGTAATGTGGCTATGCCTTTAATCTTCATTATGCAATACAGATGCAAAATAAAATCTAAATTTTTTTTAAGGATAATTGTACTGCCAATCTCGTAAGTCTTCAGATTACAGGTTTAAATTGCTAATTTTCTAAATACTGAAGATTGTGGGTTGGAATAACTGGAATAAAGCCTAAGCCTCAATAAATTATTAGAGTATAATTCTTATCATCAATACCCTTTTCACACTCACTCTCTCAATATTTACCTAAAGTCACGTTCACATGTCTCATCGATCGCGAGTGGTTGCCAAAATCTCTATCAAGTCACTAATTTCTTCCTCGGTCCAACAGGCCCTTGAGGGCCAGTTCCAGTTTAAGTTGACATGGAGAATATTTAGGGACATATAATTGAAAAATAACATACAACAGCCAAAACCGCAACGATTATAAAAATAGCATTCTTAACTGCGTATACTCAGAGATCCCAATTCTCCCGAGAATTGCGGGTTTCTCCCGATTTTTGAGGCCGTCTCCCGCCCTCCCGATTTTTATTAATATCTCCCGATTTTTTTAAATATCCCGAAAAATGTGATTTCCACGATGTCATAGAGCAATGAAACAAAATTTCTTATCTTAAGCCAATATACTATGGCGCTCGCTCAGCCATAAAATGTCATAAACAATGCCAGGGAGTTGTTATTTAAGTTGTTTATCAAAATAACAACTCAGGGCAAGGCAGGAGGCCTAGATTCGTGGTAGAACCGCCTTGTTTATCCTCCATGTTACGATCTTTTGCATCCAGTGCCGGCCGACCTCATTCAATGAGATGGATGTCAGTTGAGTAAATAAATTTCAACAAATAGTAACAATTAGAAATC